GAAATCTTTGGTTGCAAAATCGATTTTTCTTTAAAAAAATCGGCTTTCTTCGCGATTTTCAAAATGTTTTGATTGGTTTTGATTGATTTTGGGACGCTGATTTCGAAAATATTATCCGTTTTTAGATAAATCCACATACCGCTGCGAAAAATCGAAATCATTGGTAGCAAAACCAAAATTTTACTAATGAAATTAAATTTTTTTTTTGCGATTTTCAAAATGTTTTGACCGATTCTGATAGTTTTCGAGGCGCTGATTCCGAATATGAAATCAGTTTTTGGAAAAAAAAATTCTTCTGCCCTTGGTACCAAATTGAAGTTTGAAAAATCGCCAACTTTGAAGCTGATTTTAACTATGAAGACGATGATAAATTTGTAATTTTTTTGGTTTGGTATAAAGATTGTACTTTAGTCTACACAAAGCATTAATTAAAATTATTACTTTCATTCATTAAGGGCCTTAAAATTGCATTTGAAAGTCACGATTTTGGCCAATTTTGGCTGCCCCTGATAGACTGCTTTTTTAACGGAAAAATAATAAGATTTTTAAATTACACCAAAGTAGGTTTGGTTTACTGCTAACCAGGCGTGAATATGATTTTTTTAAAAATTATCTTCCTCCTACTATTTCTTATCTTATATATATATATATATATATATATATATATATATATACACACATATATTTATATATATACATTTATATTTATATATATGCATATATATTATGTCGATTTCTGTAATACTGACACTCAATAAATTTAATTAATCATTTATCAATATATCTTATTTATTTACACAGGTAGAAAAATTACAGAATTCAATTTTTTTTTAGACAAATGAGGTTCGAACTGGGGAACCTCGAATTACTATTCTGGCCTAAACCGTATCTTTACGACTTCGGCCATTCGCACATTTGGCATACAACATTTTTAAGAAACTTATATCTTTCATTTTAAAAATAAGACTTTATATTTTTAAAAATAGCAGGGAGTTCTGTATAACTAATTGGCCGAGATCGTTAAGTTGCCACTACGGTTGCTCATTGTTTCTCGGTTCGAATCCCCAAGATGCTTGAAATTTCGAATGTATAGTTTTTCATAATTATCAAATATTAGTTCAAAATATTAAATTCAGGTGTCGCATTTCGACCTTGACACTTAGTAAATTTCTGAAAAACAAAAAACTCAAGTTTCGCACTTGACTGTTGTAAGAGAGATACATAAAGAGAAAAAAAAAAGGTAGAGGAAGAACTGGGGAAAGAGAGGGGTAGAGGCAGATGATGAATAAGAGAGATGTGTATGATACATATTCTTTATTAAAATTCAATATTAATACAATATGAGAATGAAAATAACTTTTATCATCAATAACTTAAATAGCCGAGTGGTTTAAGGGACCGCATACTCGGTGAAATAACTCTGGAGGCACAAGGTGAGCAGGATCGAGTCCAGCAGAAGGCGACGACGAGCAACTCTGAAGCAGAAAAAATGGAGCAGTGCTGGTGACTGGCTGTTGGCGAGCGCAAAGGGTCCTGAAACAAACACACGAAGTGATGGTCAACCTGAGGTCCATGATGCGAGAGGTTACACGCAGAGAGACACATTTCGAAAGATGCATGCCGAGCCCAAAAATCTACCCAAAAAACACAACATGCGAAAAAAAACAACACCAAAAAAGGAAAAAAAATGTGAAAAAAGCGGAAAAAAAAGGGAAAAGAAGGAGGAGGAGGAGGAAGGGGAGGGGGAGAACCAAAAAAAAACCCCTAAGTCCCAGATCAATTTTTCTCTTTTCTGTTCAGCGTTGAAACTTTTTTATGTTTTTTAGTGTTCCCTCACACCAATTCCCAAAACCAACACTCGAATGAAATCAAGTCCACGTTGAAATTTTCACAACGAGAAAAAATTACTGGGACTTAGTTACAATATTTAACTTTGCCCCAATAAAATTTTCTCGTTGTGAAATATTCAATGTGAGCCTCATTCATTCGAATGTTGGCTTTGGGATAATACAGCATGCATAAATAACTCGTCTGTCTTAATTGAAAAGGTTTCAAAAAATTTGGACTTAGAAAAAAAAATTATCTGAAAGGACTTACAAATAGAAAAAAAAAAATAATTCGAAAGAATTATAATCAGAAAATTTGGACTTAGAAAACAAAAAATATCTGAAAGGACTTTGAAAAAAAAAAAAATATTCGAAAGAATTAGAATCAGAAAATTTGGACTTAGAAAAAAAAATATTCGAGAGAATTATTTAATTAATCGATGAAATGAAATGATATTAATCAAATCAAAAATGTTTATACAACTTGATAAAACATGTGAAACCTTTACAATTAAGCGAGACAAAAAAAACAAATGTAGCTGACTTGAATAATATACAAATTATTAGAAAAAGCCATAAAAGAATTTCAATAATTAAATAAATTATTAAATAATTAAATTAAATAAAATAATAAAAAATGTTCAAAAACTTGAACATTGAAAATTTCAAAACTGTTTAAAGCTGATTGTTATCGTTTAGAAATTGAGTTAAATAATTTTTACAACTTGAATCGAATAATAAACTTGTAAATAAAATTATGATTTGTCTAATCATTCAAGTCAACTCTTCGAAACTTTGATTGCATGTCATGATCAAAATTGTTTTTAGCAATAAAAGAATAAAAATCTATCTTTTAGCTATGCAGCAATATAATTAAATAATTTTAAAATTAATAAAATAAAATAAAAGACTTTAAAAAGCCGCATTTAATTAACAATTTAGTAAGTCGTATTTGAGTATTTGAAATAATTTGATCAAAACCAACAATCGTGTTATCCATAAATAAGAATGTTCATGCAGTCAATATCCTTACAGGGAAAACACATGACTCTTGATACTGGAAATGTAATTCTAAAAGTTGTTTCTGTAAAATAATGAACAAGAGGTGTTATGAAAAGAGATTTTGTAACAAAGTAAATATGTAATTTGCAATTTGTAACAAAATACCATCAATTTAGGAGTTACATAAGGAGGGGTGCTAGAACCACTTCAACGAACAAGTAATCAATGCATACAAAAAGCTGTATTGGTTAACTAATAATTTAACATAAATAATAATTCTGAATTCCACACAAAATCTACTATTTATAGAACAAAAGAATTTCTGATTGACTATTTATGGAATAATAATAATGTAACTTTCAATATCTTTGATACATATGAGAAGTACAAACTTTATTGTTTAATATTGATTTAGAACATGTATAAAAGGCACTTGTGTAAATAAATAAAAAAAGACTGAATCAACATGTTTTCCCCATAACAAATTAAATAAGAACTTAGTCTTTTACACATATGTCTGTCAAATTAATTTAAAATCTTTTATTCGCATAATAGTTGTTGAATAAACAAAAAATAGATTGTATTATATGTATTGAAAATTAATAAAGTATAAGGTATACTATGTTAAAAATGATATTGACTCAAATATTATGATATAAACAATATTTTCAGCAGATATATGTATATAACTATATTAATAATGCTCGAGCCAAAAAGTATTTCTCTAAAATATATACAGGCTGCTTTATAAACAACATTGTATAAGAAAGAGACAAGTTCTATAATACAAACATGGTCAATAATTGTAAACTCCTTTAAGAAAATAAATTATAAGTAATCTATAAGTAATCTTTTCATTTATTTCTATTGAAATTATAGTTTCACTAAAGATGACAAACAATATCGTGTTGAAGTAAAGATTTTCAAAATCATTTAACTGCTTTAAATTCAAAATTAAGAAAAACTTAATGCATATATAAATATAATATATATATATATATATATATATATATATATATATATATAAGTTGAATATTGAATATTTAAAACACTATAGGTGCAACAGATATAGTAAGATAAATACTTGTATATGATTCCAGAAAAATATTTTTTGACTCGCTATATATAAAACATGCTTTGCACTTACATTGTTAGACATCCTCTGTAGCAGCTCCCAAAACACTAAGTCATTACTGGAACCACCTCTGAAGCATCTGCCAGAAAACTCAATTACTCGACACAAAATCACTACTTTAGAACAACTACATAACTTTAGTCTTTTACAAGTCTATTTGACCTGTAGCAATTGCCCGAGTAAAGTCTTTACACAATACACGACACAAGACTTATATTAGAGACTTTCGTGAATTTAGAATTCGATAAAAACAGATATGTAGTGGAAATACTCTAGGGTAACCTATAAAAGCACATATATAAATTATACTATTGATAATTGCATGTATATAATTAAAGGATACATTGGCGCTGTAAATAAATTGTTTAATTATAAAATTGATTCAAAATGGAGTCCCTGAAAGAGATATTTATCAAACTATACAAGGTACACCGAGGCATTTCCAAAACACACCCATTTTTTTTTACTTTTTATGAACATTTTGCGATGAATTTCCTATATCATTATTATATACTAAATTAATTAAACGAGTTGATGTACAAATTAACAAAATCCAATCAAAAAATTAATTAAAAAGTCTTAATTGCGTTAATTAACACATCTTAATCCACGAAAATTTCTTTGACAATCGAAGCAATTAAGTTAGCAACATGTGTCACAAAGTCTGTTGCCACCTATACAACTTAAAGCGCGAAATTCAAATAGAAATTTAAAACATTGTAAAATTCACCTATTTAAATATATACGGTTGAAGGCAATGTGTATAGTCTTTGGATATGTGATATGAATATATACGGTAAAAAGCAAAGTGTACATATTTTAAATCTACCATTTCCTTATTAGCTCGCAAAAATTTTATTTAGTGATTTTAAAACACTCGCTTGAAGTAGTAGCGCATTAGTTCGTGTTTTTTAACACCAGCTGTCAGTCTAGTATTCTTATCCTAAAAATTACTCGTTCAGTATTTGTCGTAGAATTTTCGAAGATGCATTGTGTTATAATTCGGTTTTATTTCAATTTAATATAATTTGATAATGAGAGTTTTGTTGATATTCATTAAGTTTTGCTTGATTTTTAACATTATTTTCATCATTTTTTTGCGAGGATGTTTTGTTTTAAATGCTTTTAAGTAAATGTTTTGTGCAAGAAAGTTGTGATTATGAATGTAAGTAGAATTTATTATTTGTTTTTATTTGGTTTATAGGTATTTTATATTTTTATATTAAGAATATAAATGCGTTATTATTATAATAATAACTAAATACTAACTATAGTTAGTATGTTAAATTTTTTGACACATGCTCTACGAGTTAACATGCGAGTTGTAAACACAGATGTAAACAAAATTATTTAATAGCACAAAATTAATTTGTATATTATTATATTATATATCAAATTGTATAAAATTGTGTAGTTTTTGGTGTCCTAAATACTGCAAATCATTTTATTTTATTATTTTAAAGTTACTACTGAAAATCTAGAAAAAATACAAACCATTGATAAAATTATTAGCGTATGGGAGGTTGTACGAAATTCAAAGCGTTTTATTGCCATGAAACTAATTTTTGCAAAATTATTATTATTTTGCAACATATAAAATTGTATATACTTATTATAATTTACATACACAAAGGACAGCTAATTCCATAAGCAAAGTATTTAGTTTATTTTAGTCATTAATTACAATGTTATAACTGAAACCAAAATGTGTATAGAGTAAATCAAGGATGGTAAACGCGCGGCCCTTGAGCTTCATGCTGCCCATTTAATATTTTTCTGCGGCCCGCCAAGCATTTCTAAAAATAGAATTTCATTTATTTTGTCAACTTTCTCCCATATATTTTTTTTTTCTTTTTTAACTTTAGTATTTTCTATTATGCTTATTAGTCTATATATCAAGTTTTGTAAATAATTATTTGGCCCGTTATCACATTTTAAAATTAAAGGAGGCCCGCGAGATAAAAATTGCTCAATCTTATAATAAATATATGCATTGATATGATGAGACAGAGTTTTCTTTTCAAAATTTACTATAAGTTATTTTCAAAGTATTTTTTATCCTTTTTATTTTGATTTTTTTTTTGCAATTATGGTAAAACCATAGATAAACAAGTATATGGGTAAAACGACCGAGTAATTCGTATAGGAAATGTTTCATAAAAAAGACATAGTCATATAAAAATTGATATGTTATACTTTTCTGTGGAATGATAAAGGAAAACTGTTATGACGCTAAGTAATTATAACGATAATGAAATCAATCAATTTAGGAAATTGCTTTAAACTTCGAATATACTGCAGAAAGTTTACAAAAATAAATTTAACCCTTTCCACTCGGATGACACCGCTTCGGCGGCAAAGTTCGTATGAATTTTGGAATTAGAGAGTGAAAAGGGTTGAATATTATTGTAAATTTATGTTTATCAATTACATCAAACTTAGTACACATTTTCATAAATTAGAAAACTTACTAATGGGTAGTTCTTTAAAAACATTATAGCTTTGTAAAGTCTCAGTCAATTACTGAATGTCTTCTAATTTATAAGACAGATTGTAATTAAAATACGAATAAAAAAAATGTTTATCAATGTTCACAAAAGTACATGAAACGAATTGCATAACATACACAATAATATCAAGTTTGCAGCAGGTAAATTTTTTTCAGAACGCAGCAACAAGTTTTTGGTTGACAACGTACGAGTCGGTGCTGAGTGGAAAGGGTTATATATTTCCCAAAGAATTATAATGTATTCTTCTAATTTAAAAGTTCTAGTTGAAAATATAAAAAATAACAAAAATTTCGATTGCACACCGCGCAATCGGAAGGGATATAGCGCAATTATTTTAAGCAATTTTTAAATTTATAAATACAAAAACATTTGTATGTTGTATAAAAACACTATGACAAATTTTGAAACACATTAGAGAAGAAAAACATCTCAAAACATCAGTTCATCAAATTCAATAAAATGTGTAATTAAAATATCCATATAAGTACTAAATATCTTCATTAATCTCTTCTGTTTCTTTTTATTACTGCAATTATGCAATATTTTATCATTTAAAGAAACATATGGTGTTTTAAAAATGCATGTTTCACAATCAGATCGGCAATGATCATTATTATTTATTTTTGGAACATATGTTCTTTAAGAATTCATATAAATTAATTGGATAATTAGGAAACGAAATAGATGTAGGTCTGTTTCAATTTAGTAATTAAAAATTCTCATCTGACATAATGAGAATTTAATGTACATGGCAGCAAGACATTTTTATGTATTTTCGACTATCACTTTGAAACTAGATAAAAAACTAAAAACTGTCTTTGGAGTAATTGTAAGCGTAGAATTTGGCATATTTACTAATATAACATAATTCAATAAAAACTAGTTTTAAACTAATTCAATTGGTTTTGGATTTCGCAAATTATATCACTAGCTGGAATAATTTATAAAAGTTTACTATCACCGATTGTTCTTATAGGGCAATTTTTTTAAAATTTCAATTATAAATTATAAAATTTTAACTGAAACAATTCGATCTTCAGCAAAATTTAAAGATATAAACTTTTTTACATTATTTTAATTTCATATAAATTAGTTTGAAAAAGCCTTTGAAAAATTAGATGTTGTCTTTAAGAAATCTATAGACTACAAAATTATAAATATTTTGTTTTAGAACATAACTTTATTTTATACACTTTAATTTAATTTAATGCAAAACATTTTTTATATTTTTGAAAATAATTTTTAAATAGCAAATAGGATAAAGAAATTTTCAAGAAATTTGTAACTTCCCATAGGGCAAGTTATTGTAATCGTCCAAAAATCGAAATGGATTTTTTGCATATCTTAACGTTTTGAAGGTTTCTGAAAATTTTGGCATACCTTAGAAAAAATGGAAGTGTTTATATGTATGTATGTATGGATACAATTTTTCGTCAACGTTTTCGGGCGCATGGATCAACCGATTTGAATGGTTAAAAACATTCGATTCCTATTGATCGGGAGATGTACTGATTAGTTATTGGCATAAGTCGATCCAGCTGTTTTAGAGTTACAGAATACAGAAAATATAAATCGAGTTTTTGAGAGAACAGAGAATGATTCAAAGAACATTCAATTCGTAATGATGGGGAGAAGTGGTAATTAGTTTTTGTCAAAGGCAGGTCCAGCCATTTCGGAGATACGGAACAAAATGTGAAAAAAATTGCAGTTTTTGAGAGAAATAAGCATCCGATTTGAATGATTCAAAAAACTTCCTACTTGTGTTGACAAAACGATTGCTTTTGGCGAAAGAAAAAAACATTTTTGTATTCATTTTTTTTAATTTAATTTTTTTTAAATATCAAAAATAATTCAGATTTTCAAAATTTTAATTCGATACGGGAAGTTCCTGCCTCAAGGCACGATAACATACACCCCTAGTTAAAACATAATATCAACTATATTTCTATCTAATATTATACATAAGTGTAAATATGGTATAAATTGTTGTCATTGGTTTTATAATCATACTTTGTATAAATTTTGGTGCATGACTATCATCTGCATATATATATATATATATATATATATATATATATATATATATGTGTGTGTGTGTGTGTGTGTTTGTATGTATGTATTTTCCGGTTCTATGCAAAATTTTGTGTTAAAATTATGATTTGTGGGGCTCATTTCGTTGTTTGGCCCGGGGTGCTCTCATATTGTATAGAACTGACATTTACTAGAACGACCATATATCATATTCTGAATACGGACGAGCCCCCTTTTAGCCCCCTGGAAATATATACACACACAGGCATAAATATACATATATAAATATATTTATACATGTATATTTTGTATGTTTCATATGTTTTCATTAAATTTTATTATAAGTGGCGACGTATATGAAAAAACATTTGTGACAGCTATGAGTAAAATGTCAAAGGCAAAAATATACGAGACGTAATAGGAGTTTTCACATCTTTGTATGAGAAAATGTAGTAGTTTTTATAATCTTGAATTTTCCCAGAGACTGTATTTGGTTTTATTCATGGGCTTAAAAATTATAGGCACAAAATCGATTTCTGTATCATGTTATAAATTTGTATATAGAACAATCTTTTAAAGTTGTATGTAACTAAAGTTTCAAAATTTTTATTAAATCTTAAGTCTTCAGAATTACTTGGGTACATTTGTATACCTTGTATCTTTTATAATATTTAAATCATTCGAATAATTTTTTTTTTCATTCATTAATAATTACAACTAGTTTAAATTATTCATTCATTAATAGTTACAACAGTCTAAAATTCTAAGTGATCTAGTATCTATCTAGTAAATTTTTTGATGTATAAGTAAGTAAGAAAATATCAGGCCGCCTAATAATGGTCCTAATAATATTGTTGAATTCAATGAATTACATTAAATTAAAAATAAAATAATTTTCTAGTTTTTGAATAATATGAATGATATACTTATTTCGGAAATATTCGGCATTAAGTGCTGATTAATTTTGTCTAATACACCAAGAACTTACAGCAAATCTCTGTATACTTATAAATGGCGATTGAAAATAGGTGTTTTGAAAAAAAATTGTTTACTAAATTTAAAATAAAATTTAAACCATTTCATTAACATAGATGATGTATATGGTGATATATACAAGTATATACACAGTTAAGTAATATACAAAATTGTCTAACAACGCACCATCTTCAACAACTCAGCCTACTACATCGAAACGCCTCGGAGCAACTCGGAGAACTCACAAAAGGAACGAAAGTATGCTAAATGTCCTCAAAACTTTCTTGTCTTACCAAGGTTCCAGTTACCTTAAACCCTTCACCATCCTGCAGACAACATTATAAAAGTCTGATCCAATAATTTTCCTCCTCCGCTCCTTTACAAAGTTGCTGCAGCAGCAACATTGTTCGTCTATCCTCCATAAAGTTCTATTTTCGAGAAAGTTACAGTTCAACAATGAGACGTCGTAGTGTTTTGTTATGCAAAACTGGAGAAACCTCATCCGGACAGGAAATAAAACAATTTCTGCACAAGTGGAAATGGTAAAGATATGTATGCCTCAAGAATAGTTTATCTCAAAAATAATTTCTTACATTTTTTTGCAAACTTTTGCTGGTCAACTGCCTATTGACAGGAAATAAAACAATTTCTGCACAAGTGGAAATGGTAAAGATATGTACGCCTCAAGAATAGTTTTTCCCAAAAATAATTTCTTACATTTTTTTGCAAAATTTTGCTGGTCAACTGCCTATTATTGCACACGAAGCATCAAAATTGTAATCTTGGTTTTGATATTGGTTTTGAAGTATAACAAGTTGCTGTAGGGCATTTTGTTGTTTGGAAAAACAGTAGTTTTGGAGAAAAATTCAGAATACGTAGATCAAATCAATCGACTGGTTCAAAAGTTACAATGTGTACTAATAAGTTCACAAATGAATTGCAAACCAACTGATGAAAAGCAAGATTAAGTGAACCCGGAATAAATGTCTGTGTTCGAAGGCGATTTTAACGTATACCGAGTTGTCTTAGGGCTATGAAATATTGTCAGACAATGCCATGAACAATTTATTTTTGTACAAACTTTATGAAAAGTGAAAACTGAAAATAATCTATGCATGAAGTTGAATTATAAACCAGTATATAATATTCTATTTTAGATAGTTCTTTTGTAGTATACCAAGTAGCATACTAAAATATCATACATAATTTATCGTACATCACAATCGAATGGTTTGAAAATTATATGAGATTTTATAAATAAATGCACAAGTAATTAAGCAATTAACAAAGTTGCACAATCAATTTTAGTAGCGATTATAAAGAATTTTGAGATGAGGTTGAGACATACTATGTTAGGTAATATTATAAACTGTTTATTTTTGAGCATTTTCCTAAATAACTTTTTTTAAGACTTAAATGGTTTAGGAGGTTCAAGAGATATTGTAAAGAAATGCCAGGCTTAAATTTATGGGCCGACTCTACCGTAAAACATATCAATGTTATGGCAAGGCTATGTTACGTTCCAATTTTCATACAAAATGCTACTAAATACTGTCAAGATGCCATATATTTGCTGTGCAATCAGGCGTTTTACACATAAAATGCAACTTCACTTAAATGTTATGAAGTCATATCTCAAAGACGTAGTTAGATAACATAGTTTTTTGACATTTGACATCAAAAACGCCTGATTCAGTAGCAATCACATGGCCGTTGACAGTATTTAGTACCTTTTTGTATGAAAACTGCTACATAACTTAGCCTTGCGATTAGCCGTGTTGTGCTAATATTTTTTACCTGAACGCTAATATTAAAAAAAAACAGTTCAAAAACCGATTCTCCGTTCGAAAGTGAAAGAAACAAAAATCATTACAAAACTCATTTTGTGCATATATTTTGTGCATATATATGTAAGTTTATTATAATAATAGAAACGTTTATTAAAAATTAGTTCAATTATAGATTATAAAATTCACTTATCAAATCATTTTCTGTATGTAGCATTTTGTTTTTAATTTTTTTTACCGGAACGCGTTCTGGGCCACAAATGATTGCCGGAACGACGCTCTGACGCGTTCCGGCTCGACAATACCATTGGCCTTGCCATAACATTGGTCTATTTTACGGCAGAATCGGCCCCTTATTGTCTATTTTTAAAGACGAATTTAGAGCAAATCGGGTATCTTTATCGAGTTGCTATATTTGTCGTTAGTTAGTTAATTATATTACTAAAACTAGTTGGTTTGGTATTTAGCCTTGAGGCAAGTTACATGAACTTTCCGATATGTGTAAATAATTGACTTAATCAAAAAAAGTGTAAATAATATACTTTATCAATCCTACTTTAAAAAACGATAATAATTTTAGTAAAGTTTGACGAATTTTTAAAATTAAACTACTTGTCGTAATGCCGTAATATTACAGTAAGTTCTATAAGACCATGATGTATATCGCCAAAAAAAGTTCCATGAAAATCGGCTTAAATTTTTTTTTCAACAGTTCATTACAAGAAAACGGCTCGGTGGATTTTCACCTAAAACTAATCAGTATCATTCTCAACTAATATCTTTCGAACAGTTTTTGATTTTTTAAAATCGGTTCGGTAGAATGAGCTTAAATGTGGACGAAAATTTAACACTTTTTTTCAACAGTTAATTACAAGAAAACGGCTCGGTAGATTTTCACCTAAAATTAATCAGTACCATTCCCAACTAATATCTTTCGAACAGTTTTTGATTTTTTAAAATCGGTTCGGTAGGATGAGCTTAAATGTGGACGAAAATTTAACACTTTTTTTCAACAGTTAATTACAAGAAAACGGCTCGGTAGATTTTCACCTAAAATTAATCAGTACCATTCCCAACTAATATCTTTCGAACAGTTTTTGATTTTTTAAAATCGGTTCGGTAGGATGAGCTTAAATGAGGACAAAAATTTAACACTTTTTTTCAACAGTTAATTACAAGAAAACGGCTCGGTAGATTTTCACCTAAAATTAATCAGTACCATTCCCAACTAATATCTTTCGAACAGTTTTTGATTTTTTAAAATCGGTTCGGTAGGATGAGCTTAAATATGGACGAAAAGTTTAACACTTTTTTTTAAATTGCAAAGAAACGGCTTGGCAGATCGTTGCACAAAACTGACAAACGATAGTCCTCACCGAAATACATCAAATGGCTTTTAAATTTCTGAAATCGGTTCAGGCGTTTTTGAGAAAACGTCGATCAAAAGTCTAATTTTGACAAATGTCAAAAAAACTATACCAATTTTTGCAAACTTTGACGAATTTTTAAAGCTAAACGAGTTGTCGTAGGGCCGTAATATTTTAGTATGACCTAGAAAACTATGGTATCTAACGTCAAAAAAAAAAATCATAAAAATTGTCGATTTTTTTTTTTTTAAAACGTTATTACAAGAAAACGGCTCGGCCGATCTTTACCAAAAACTAATCAGCACGATTCCCAACCAATATCTATCGAATGGTTTTTGAATTTTCAGAATCGATTTAGAATTGCGGGCTAAAACGTGGGCGAAAAATTTTTCACTTTTCTGCAATTTACAACGAAACGGCCCGGCTGATCGCCGCACAAAACTCAGAGACGATAGTCCTCATCGAGATACATCGAATGGCTTTTAAATTTTTAAAATCGGTCCAGTCATTTTTGAGAAAACGTCGATTTACGGCAAAAAATCTGTTCACATACACACACACACACACACACATACACACACACACACATACTTTTTCCAAATTTGGTCTCATTCGATTCAGAATGGCTTGAAACGTCGAGAAAACATAAAATTAGCGAATCGGATTTTTTGATGAAAACATAAACTTCTCCTTCGGGAAGTTAATAAAATGAAGGTACAAAATTAATTCTGAAATTATTGATCATTCAGTAGAGTTATCACTTACTTTAGAGTAGACGATCACTTATCATCAATTTAATATTTATGACATACATGAAAAAAAGTAAGAAGAATCATTTATTTAAAAAAAATCTTGTTGTGCCTTTGAATTTTATTTTATTAAATATTTCAAAATATCGTAAAACTAAATATTTGGTGAATGGTATAGGATTTATCACAACTTTGTATCTAGGGTCCCGACCCTGTCCCAGCATCTCTATTCGGTGTACGAGATGCATATATACATACTTAATATATACACACACACACACATATATATATATATATATATATATATATATATAAATGTATGTATCTATACATTTATGTTTGAGTATATATATTTGACGTGTATGTATATATCGGGCGACGCGCGTCCACCACGCACATTCGTGTTCCCTCTCAGTCTGCTTTCGCTCGTCGGACAGAGCGCTCGTCGTGTCCGGGAACGAAAACCTAAAGAAAATCCTTAAAAAAAAATCAGGATCAAAATCCTGCCTCAGTGCCCGAACGTCCTGGACAAAGTGCCATGATCTAAATCCCTAAACACTGTGTCATTTCCCTTACAAGTTGGTGTTGAAATGTATCGAAAGTCCTTGTTTCTAGTTCTGTTATTCGTGATTGTGATCAGAGGACAACAGAATCGTCGTCCTGCTGCTGCAGCAACCGGAGATTGTCCTGCGAAATGTCTCTGCTTCCGGAGGACTGTCCGGTGCATGTTCTTGGCCATGGACAATGTGCCGAGGGTTCCGTACGAGACGACGATATTGTAAGTCATAGAGAAAAGATTTATTATTTATATTTATTTCAACATTTGAAATGATATCATTGCCGTCTGATTTCTTATTTATATAATTATTTTTTAATGTAAACAAAATTAGTAAATTCTTTGTTTATATATGTTTACGTGAAGGGGTTTCTTATCATCTTCAGTGCTATTTAAAAAAATGTTTTTGTTTATAAATTTTGTTTATGAAAATTGGTATATATGTATCATTTTTATAAGAAACAATATTTTAAAGTCTTAAGTAACCTATTATCCTTAGGCGTATCTAAGGTCTTTAAGATATGAAGAACTTTAAAATTGTTTTCAAATCTACAAAAAAAATAACATCAAATAATAACCTTTAAGTTTTCAAAACTTATTTTTTAATTTTTTTATCAAAATAATAATAATTGTATGAAAGTTTAAAATCTTAAAAATCTTCAAGATTTAAAAAACATGGTTCTATAGACAGATGTTTATACTATAAAATTAAAAATATTATTTTTCACAGAGTCTATTATTATGAAAAATAATAAAATTATTCAGTTAAATAAAGGATTTTGTTAACCCGTAGGTATGTGTGGGGTAAACGTTAATCTGACGTGTTTCTGAGCTCTGCAGGACACGTACCGTTGTTATTTAAATATGTCATTTTTTAAGTATCTATAAAACAAATAATAAAATAGATGCGTTTTCTAACATAAATTTTAATTACAAAAGTTTTTCTAAAGAGCTGCTTGGAAATTAAATATTGTGCTCGAGTTTCTTATTGTCAATTTTTAAAATGCACCGTTTGTGCTAGGATGTTGGAACTCTCAAAGTATTATTTTTTACAATTGCTAAAATTGATGAGTTCTATAACCAAATTTTTATTTGTAAAAGTTGTTATCAAAATTGCAGTTAACACTTATCTGTCTTCAAATTACATTTTTAATTTGCTTTACAAGACACACTGACCACACTACGAAAATGTTATTCCTGACAATATCTTTTAAGATAACATATATAATAATCGATAAGTCTATTTTAACAAAAATTTATAAAAGATTTTTGCAAATATTAAAATTATATAAAATCTGCTGCAGTTGCTAAAACCAATTACTTCTCGTTTACTAAAATCTTCTATTTTTATCGAATATGCATTTTCCAAGAATTTCTCCTATCCATCTCCATGATTTCATTGCTATTTTTATTTTTCCCGTTTCATGGCTCCGCGGTTTTAAACTATATTGCATTCTGACGAATTTACTGTTTCAGCAAATACGTTGCAGCAGGAATTCCGGGGGCATAAATTCATCTTTCGACGTCTGCTGCAAAAAATAACTATACTAAAACACTGCCATGGCTGGGTATCGACTCTTACTAATGTCGGTAATGAAAAATCACGGTACGTCCTCGTCTCCTGCCCTTGGTTAAAACTTAATCTAAAATCTGTTCTGAAACTTGTATCATCACACAGTGTATCCGTGCATTTACTGTAATATAATACACACCGCCACTTCAGCGACGCTCTACTGGCACGTTGAAGTGTCCCCCGAAAACAGGTGGAGGTGGAAAAGTTTACAAATTACATAACATAATTACCAGGAACTTCGAAGCCTCCATCGTACGTTACCAGCGAGTTTCTTCCACCTTGGGCAAGGTTCTGGTATTTCCACCCTAGTTTTCCCTTCGTCCTCTGTTTCCTATAATTGTTGAAAAAACGCTAATAAGCCCCGAGCGAAGTTTTGAAAAGATGTCTGAGGATTTAATTTTCTTTTCAATGTTTTTCTTTTTGTAGAAGGTACTTGAAGTGTATTGGGGCGTTGTAACCTTTAAATTGCCTAAGGGAATATATCTATATGCAATATTTTTTATAATAAGAACTTTGTTATGTTCCAATTATCTCCAGCAAATCACTTATCAGATTTAAAAATGTTAGAGATCACTAGCAATCACTAAAAATCATTAGCTACACGTTGCTAGAAGTCACTAGATTTTTTTTTAAAAATAATTGAGAATCATTCGAATTGATTACAAATAATTGAACATGTATTACCAATGCAAAGAATAAACCAGAGTTAAACTAACAGGTGCCAATCGGTTCTCCAAGTCCGCCTCTATCCTCATGGATCTCTCCACCGTAATTACTACGTTTCTGTTCTAGATTTCTGCTCCTCCTCATTTTTTTTACTTCTTTCCTCTTAATTGTCTTCGTTATCCACACTTGAGGGTCTGCTCTATATTTATTTCCATTTCCAGTTAATGAATTGCTACCCCTGATCTCGTTTCTGCAGCAGAGGGAACACTTTAGAAGAAATTTCATTTTATGGTCGACAAAACATAGAAATAGACTAGAATTATATAATCAATTATTAATAATAATAGATTGATTAATAAATAATATACTGATTACTTTATCATTTTATTGTTCATGTCCAGTCAAGATCTTCACAAGCTAAAAAATTCAATAAATATATTATTACCAAACTTTCTACCAGACCTCGTTTCAATTGAAAGAACGCAGACTTACATCAATTCTTTAAAGAAGAATTTCATTCATAAAAATTTAATTTAGTATATATATATATATATATATATATATATAAATCTGTTCTAGAGGTAATAAGGAATGTTTTCCCAATGCACAATGTTCATCATTTTCATCATTTTCTTCATTTTTCTCCAAAGGAGCGGGAATATCAGCAGGAGAAGTGGGAGGAGTAGAGCTGCTTCCGATTTGTTATCCTTCGAGTTTAATATCTTTTTTGAATTTCCTCATTTCAATATTCCCTGAAGGACTTGAAAGGGAATCCCTTGGCGCCCCCCTGGTCTTACATAATGCATAAGCCGATATTGTACATTATACATACACACAAACACACACACACACACACACATATATATATATATATATATATACATATATATATACCATATATAATTTTCGAGTTTATAATTTTTGGTTTATATGTTGATAATGCTAAAATGTTTATTATTATCAGTTTTAGAGAATGTTATCTAGTTTTTTTTGAAAAATTGAAGAATTTTTTAAAAATATTTTTATATTGAAACATGTAAAATAATGTACAACAGACTAGGAATGAGCATGATCTGTTTCAGATAATATTGTACTTGTAATTTTTTTTTTGCTATTATTAGTTATAACATTATATTTTTTATTGAAGTCAAATTTACGACGAAGTGATTCAGTATAAAGTTATGTTGAAAATATGAATAATTATACCTGAATAATGTTTCGGCTCTCAGTTAATTCTCGGAATTATGGTTTTTTAATTTATTTTATCCAGTTTTATCGAAAACCCCAAGTTTAGGAAAATCTTTCTATTAAAGGAGGTTCAAAGTTTCCTTATAGGTGTCGATTTCCCTCGTGTCATGTTTGTTTCTATTTACCCATCAAGGGGGGCTAAGAAAAGGAGGATACTAAAAGCTCCCGAAAATATCCCACAAATCGTCGAAGATAAATCCGGGAAAATCTTATAAACATCGCCTGGCCCCCTCACTCTGTTCCATTAGAGGCACTTTGCTCTGCAAACAATATATTTGGGGAAAACATGCGGACAACTGGTGAAACAGGGGGTTCCTTTTATAGGTGTAATGATAATAAGTAGATATTTACGATTTATAATTAGTTTAGATAATTATTAAATCCTATTAATTTTTGTTCTACAAGTTTCTCATAACATATCTCTAGTGCTACATCTTTGCAAATTTGATACATTATTTTTGCTATGTCTGTTGAATGTTAAAAATACAAACAATATCAATTTTGATACAAAAATTGCGAAATATTGCTGGGTTAAAACAAGAGTTTATTCTAGACTGCATTTCTTGTTAAACAAAACTGAGCATGTTTTAGAAAACTCCTCAGGACGTACTGTTTGTACTATAAGTTTGTAATTTGAATAACCTACTCAAATACAATATATCCAAAAATACAAACTACAACAAATTTAGGATAAAAATCAAGAAAATATTTTTTACTTCATATATTAGTATGAATGTATGAGTTTCTCCTGCAGAGCTCCTCAAAAAAGCCTATTATAGTATTCCTTTCTACAATGTGTATCTAGAATGTTGTGTAAGCTTGTAGTGTAAATGTAATAAAAGTGAAAAATTGTTTTTACTACCGCGACGTGGAGGAAAAACGAATTTCATAAACCCCGCAAAGCCCCCATAAAGCTCCCGGCGCCCCATAAACACAAATTAAAGTTTTTTAATATTTAATAAACCACGCCAGAAGCTGTTTATAGTTTATTTTGTAATTTATCTGCACGAAAAAATGCGAGGAAAATATTTTAACGAGGAACATTCTTTGTGGTAATTATTTAATGCTTAATTAACGGCTGCATATTTTAAATAATTAATACAAAGTCGGTAATGATGTAATTACTTTTTATGAGCTCTGCAGGTCAAACTGTAGAAAAAATTCGAAAATTTATTCTCCAAATTTAATAATAACATTTCTCAAGAATATATCTAGGTTACAATGTCATAAAGAAAATGAAAAATTATTTTTCCAAGCTCTGGAGGTCAAACGATTTGTGATTATGTAATTGCAAAAGGAATACCTAGAAACCTAGGAGTCGAAGAAAAATTCATCATTTTTGAGGTTTAGTATTTTTTACATTTAACTGAAATACCAAATAATATTCTAATACTAAACAGCCTAATTTTGAGATCATAGTTCAAACAGTGCTGTCTTTAGAGCTCATCAAAAACGTCATTCGAGGTTAGATTAGTACATGCAGAGTGCATTTTGATAAAATCATTTTCAACTAGAAATATTATGAGGAAATCTATTAACTTCAGTAATTTTATTAATAATGGACACCTTGAAAAATAACACATATCCATTAAATTTGTAACACAAGTAGTTGAGTTTCTTGCGAAATTCATTAGAAATGTTATCCGACATTAGATTAATATTTCTAGAAATATTGTGGAGAAATCTAACAATTTTAGTATTTGTAGTAATAGTAGACAATTTGAATAATAACGAA